ATCTTTCTGCTTCCTATCATTGCTACAGAAAAAACAGTCTAGCTTTTGATACAGACATATTCCCGTGCTTATGGACTAAGAACTTAAAAGTGTAAAGGCTAAAAGTCCTACTGGAATCATGTCTGTAAATGCAAGAACCTATAGGTTACATCCAGACTTGATTTATATCACATGGGAAATTGCGTACCACCCCAAGCTCTCAGTTCCTTACCTGGGTCAAACAGCAAGTCACTTGTGCAGAGATTTTTCACAAGTAGGTTAGAGCAGAGCTTGACGTTCTTCAGATGGCTGTAACGTCGGTTGAGATACATGGACAGGATGTAGTGGAGATCAAGCATCAGACAGGTCCAGCGCACGTTGGCAGGGGCCGCTCCCACTAGATCTGGAGATCAAAATGGCATGTTGCAAAACCATCATCAAGCAGTAAGGGAACATGTCAGAGGACACTACAAACCTTGGGCCACGATCCTTGCAGAAAGGGAGACATAAGATTAATGGCATGCATGCAGCCAGTGGTGTCTCCTAACACGCACATCCAAGTCACTATTCTGCTTCAAGGTACGTTTCTACCAACACTAGCGTACATAGGCTGATTTGTGACTGTATGCTTACTTTCATGTATAAACCTGTGATCTTCCGCCCCTCAAATGGAGGCCTCAGAATGCACAATTTAACATCTGTCAGAAATACACCCAACTCAGTGGTCCAGATGAACTGTCTTTTTACAACAGTAATGGCTGCTACACTGCAGTCACTAACTTAGTGGCAGCTGGCACTTCAGGCTTGCATGCTTACGCCAGAACACAAACACAACAGAATGTGCCGCATTGTGCTGTGATGGGATCTCTTCCTGCAGTCAACTGGCAATCGACTGATATAGTATGCTGAACTACAGAACTGACTGCACTAGTCAGTTTTAGCCTGGCTGAAGCAACTGTAGGAAATATTATTCTCTTAATGCACTTCACCTTTTTCCCTTGGATCCTGAATCAATGAGGTCCCCAGGTTCTTTCTGCAGCATGTAGAAAGGAAGAAACCCTAAAGCCCTTTAAAACTAAAGTAAAAAGTATTTAACACTCAAGATTCCCAAGTCTGGCCTGATTGGTCAATAGTAAATTAGAAGAGAACATCCGAGATTTGAAAACGCACCTCATAGCTCACTATTGCAACGCACAAGTCTGAAAAGAACAGACAATGTGCCATGCTGCCTCAGGCCAGACTCACACCTGGCCTGACATTACATCCCCCATCAGTTAGGGAGAATTTAAGAACAGGGGACGCATAAACAGTCCTTCCCACTAGCCACAGCACCTAGCTTCCAGCAATCAGCTGTTAAGGGTCTTCTGGATCAGAGCAGTGCATCCACACCACTTTGTTCAACAGCCATGCACTCATCCTCCTTGAATCCATCTACTCCCTTTTTGAACTCAGTTTATTTTCTAATAATTTCTTTTAGCTGTGATGTTCCAGCCCAGTCTCTATTGCGACATGAGCAATACCAATATCCACATGCAGTACTCTTTACCTTGCTTAGAAGTCTTGGCTGTGCTCTCATAAACTGACCCTTTGGATGCTCCACAGATGAAGGGGAACTGAAGCCATGTGGCTGTGGATTTGAACTCCTTAAATAGGTTGGAGAAAGAAATGCGCACCACCTGGTTATCCTGAGGACAAAGATACACACGGTGTTTTAGTCACCCTGGTGGCTTAGGCAAGAAAATGCTGCAGAGAGGAAAGCATCCTTTAGCCAGCAGTGCTCCAACCCAGGCAATTCAGTAGCAGTCTCATATCTCATCTAATGCAGTCCTGAGTAAAGAGACCCTAAGATGACAGAAGCCTGAGTCCAGAGATGGCACAAGCGTGGAAATTATCTCAGGCCCAGGGCAATCGCCACTGACCACAAAGACCAGCTTTCACTGGAAGTATATTGACAGTTGAAGATGAACTCCTGAAGCTCTCTAGATAATCAGGCAGGAAAGAGCTCAGGGAAGGATGTGACCTTCTCCTTTACCTCTGCTTCTACAGCTGCTACAGCACTTTGGGGAACTTAAGCATGAACGACTCCTAGCGGACATCTACCTTGTAACAAAACAGCCCCACGTCCTAAAGTCGGTGTTCTGCGGTTTCAAGCCTCTATAAAAACAACCACTGCTGCCCTCAGTCCTTTAATCAGGTCACAGCGCCAATTACACTAGCAACCAGACAACACTATATCACATACCTCTGTAGCAACATCCAGATGCACAACAAAGTATTTGTTTGGCATAGGCCTGAACAGCAGGTAGAGATAACGCCCAACGAGGCCCAGCGACTGCGTGCTGGTCTTCGGA